GTATCAACATGGGGAGGGGTGCGACATGCTTGGCGCCGTGCTGCCGGTTTGCCGCTGCCGCCCCGCCGCAGCGGCCCCGCCGGCCCCGCGCACCGTCCTGCAGATTTGCACGCCCGCGCCCTCCATCAGCTTCGTGCCCTGGACGATCTTAGCCACCTGTACCGCCCAGGGAGGGCCCGGTCGAGGGCAGGCGCATGGCGTCGGCATGGCGGCGGGGAGGCGGCTAGGCAGGGCGGGTGCAGAAGAGGGCCCTGTGGCGCACGATTATTGGCAGCATAGACACGTTCCTGGCAGCACGGCGCGCATGCCGCCGATGCCCATGCGGCTGCCCAGCGCCAGGCGGGGCGCCGAGGCTGAGCGAGCCACGCAGCGCACAATGCAGTGGCGCATCGGGCTCAGCTGGGGGGTCTGCCGCGTCATGCCCGCGCGGATAACTCACCGTCCTCAGCTGCCCCGTCGTGGCGGCCATGGCTATGTGAAGCTCGCAAAATCCGAGTGCGGAGACGAGGAATAGAAAGCAGGATCTTGATACTGCAGAGCGCTTCATGAATAACACAACTGTATTTGCGTCTTGTTTCGTCGACCCATGTGCCTGCTTACTCGCTCTTCAGGGCCGGGTGACTCAGTTACGACGTGGGGTTACGAATAAACACGACCTAGACTGCCTGACGTCAGATATGCCGCCATCAGACAGCTTGCATGGATTGATACCGCGATCAGCGCCTTCTCCGCTGGCCTTGTGCAGCGCGAGGCGGTGGGCTCGAGCATGAGAGCAGGGGTCAAGCGGTGCGTACCATGTGCACAGGCCGCAACACACACATGCTCATCACGCAAGCGGATTTACACAGGACAAGACACAAAATAGTCTTGGTACATTGAGCTCGTGTTGCTCGAGCTTCACACCAGAGCGCGCCCAGTCGTGCTGCAAACTCATACCTCCCCCAGGACCGTTTCAAACAGCTGTCGTCCACTCCGGCCGACAAGCAGAGATCTAATGACAGCGTCCAAAGCAGCATTGCCTCCATGCATGCAACACCAAGCAGAGCATCATACACAGTCGCCCAAGTCAGGTGAGCGAGTTCGGCACAGGGATGGCGAGCTTGGGCCCAAAGTCATTGATGCAAACGTGCACGCCCATATCAGCCAATAGGACTGAGTGAGTAGTCAAACCGCGCAGAGACAGCACGAGGACAAGGTCCCCAATGGACGCTGCAGGCGAGGCAGCGGCATAGGGCACGCCACCCGGCGAGCCAGCAGGAGGCGCGCTGCGCAATGGGCGCTTTCAGAGGCAGCATGAGCAGGCCCAGTCCCATGCCTTCGCCAGACACTGACGCATGGCGTGATCGGCTGATCTTAGTTTCAAGGTCTCGCAGGAAATTGTCAATGGTGTACATACGGTAGATGGAGGCTTGAGCGCGCGAGTGCAACAGGCCCCCGAGGCAGGTAGCACGCCGACGAGCTCCCGGCAGGCTCAAATGGAAAGCTCAAAGAGTAGATTCTACGAGTTGCGCAAGTGAGCGCGGCAGGCAGGGCGGCAGGGGGTATCGACAGGAGACCGCGAGAAAAACTGCCCTCGGCGCCGCGTGCCTCGGGTGCTTGCGGTGCTCACATCTACATTAAAGATACCTGCGGAATATCTGAACCCGCACGTCCCGCTCGCAGCCTGAGCCGTACGGCCTTGCGGCGGTGCACGCTCTTGCGCAGTGCCACTGCAGCGACCGTCTTTCCCAGCACGACCCCTCAAGGCGAAATCCCGCCGACCCCCGACCGGCCCCTGCTCCCTCAGGCGCCGCGTCCTGAGGGTGCCGGACGCGACAAAGCCGCTCTTCGTCTCGGGCGTCACGTACCGCGCCGGGCGCTTCCGCTGGGCTAAGCCGTGCCTGCTGGTGGTGACGTCGGCAGCAGTGTTCGTATTGGATGTGCAGAGCCAGGGGGAGCTGGAGGCCAGGGATGGCAGCCATGCCAGCATCCAGCTGGCGCTGCGCGCGAGCGAGGTGGGCAGGGCGCGCGCAGTTTGGGGGAGCTCATGCTGCCGCGGCGCCTATTCCGGATTCGGATCCGGCAGGGTTGAGATGGGGCCGGCGGCGTCGAAACCCGCATGCAGCGCGCATGCTGGCCGCGTGAAGCAACTGCTTAGCGCCCGCGACGAGCATGGCAACCATGGGGCCGCGCCGCGGCGCGCATGGGCACGGCTGCTCCCCGGACGAGCCGCTCCCATACGCTCGTTGGCCGAGCCCTCTCCCAGATCCTTCGCGCATGACCCTTAAGTATCCAATCCCATCGTCCTTGGTGCTGGTCTATCAAATGCATCAGATATTGGACGTGCTGCTGGTACCAGGCGGCCTGAGGGTGGACTTCAAATCTCAGGGCGCACTCAAGGCGAGACCGGGGTTAAGAGGGTGACAAGAGGGCTGGGGTTTTGGGGGGTGAGGGTTTTGGGGCTGGTCGGGCAGGCGAAGCTGCTTGAAGGGCGAACTGGGATCATGCAGCGGGAGGAAGGGGGGCGGTCGGTGCCCCTGCCCGCCGCGGCCTGCTTGCAGTCGCGCGAGCCTGAATGCAGCGCAAGGCGGGGGCGCCAGGTTCGCCAGCACATGGCCGGCCCATGACAGGCGCGGCGCGGACGCCCGCACGCGCCCCTGCGCGCAGGTGAGCCCCTCAGTGTTTGGCTTCGGCCCTTCATCCGAGCCTGGCCCCGTCTCGACCGCGTTTGCGGCAGCCGCCGCCACTGGCGG